GTTCATGGGCCATAAGTTTTTGGCCCATGTATTCAATTATGTGGCTCTCCATGAACATCATGGTTGAATGCACATCATTGCCATGATCGACATGGATCATTACATGATCTCCTTTTCTAATGGGCCCCCTCAATAGCTTCCTCCCTAAGAGGAATCACGCGGGAACCCTATCGCATTAAGGGCCCATTTGAATATGACTTTATGAAAATCAATGGGAGCCACTATGTATGACTTAAATCTGAGCTAGGGATTGATATACACGTTCCCCCATGATTAATATAAGTGCAATGACATAGAGAATATCATAAGATGATATCTCTAAAGGCCTTCCGTCATTAGCATGAAAACAGGCTAAATTGGTGGGTGGAGATGCACCATAAAATTGGGCTAACCATTTCACTGAGACAGTCAGTGGGATTAATTCATAAGATGATAGAAGCATCATAGACTAGTGGGAGGGGCCTATCCTAAAATGGAAAACTCTTCCACGGTACCTTGGGGCTCCCGATATGATAGGTCTACACATACCAATTAGAAAGGTTTAACCTAAAATGGCAATGAACCTTGTCTAATGGATACTTTGGGACCCTATGCAATAAGAAAATAGTCCACGACCGAGGGCAAGCACATTGTCGTGAGGCTGCCTAATTAGTATGGATGAAAAAAAATCGTCTTGGAATTTGAAATCCTACCATATCACCCATTCTAAGGCTAACAAGGCTGACACTGATGTGCTACCAAAGAATTTGAAGTAGCTTGTCTCAGCTACTAGGGTTAGACCCAAAGCACATGTAGGGCGTGCTTGGATGAAACACTAAACTCAAACAATTTTCCAATTATGCCCTAAACCTTGGAGATTGATGAGCAAAACTAAAAAATTACACATAACCCCTACACTTGATTATGTTACTGCACTAGGTGTTGGATTGGGTTGTCTTTGATATGCCAATCAGTGAGATCCATTAAGGGTCAAAACCTAGGTATGTTGGAGCAATTTAAGAATTCACTTGAGTGGGTGATCATAGTGATAGGATTGGCCCCTTTGTTAGACAAAGTGAATGATAGGGCTTATACTCTCTCTGATGGAAACCTGAACTGACGATAGTGTATTTCATCTATGTTTGAGATTTGGTTTTGCAAAATATATATATTAATGTTTTATGAAAAATGTTTGCAAAATCTTTTAATTCTCTGGATTCATCCAAACAGAGAGTATGGCACTGTACTTTGCAGCCAGGGGAGAGGTCCTTCCCTATTGGGCAGTGTTGTGATCATTATGGGCCAAGAGGATAAGTGTAAGAGACCATTATAGGGCTGATTACTTGATGGGCATTATCTTACTTAAGTCCATTATCCTTGGGTTTCCATAGGATGATTGAATTCAATGATCATTTAGTTGTAAATGTTGGGCCCATATTGAGCCCATAGTGATGTGTTCAAGGGTTCATTGTGTTTAGCAGTAAATTTGGCTAAGCCTTTTCATAAAGTTTGGGTTGAACCCATGTGGACTTATGTGAGGTCATTATGGGGTCCCACACCATACAAATCAGACCTAATTTGGCCATATAACATCTTGGGTCATGAGTCTTTGAAGGAAATGGGCCTAAGGCCCATAATTAAAAAGATTAAGTATGCTGTCACATTACAACTTTAAGTTGCCATGTGCTCTAGGTCAAAATCTAGGTTTGGAAATGGGTATGGAGCACCCATCCTCTTAAGAGGATAAGGCTTTATCTAAGTTCAGATCCAAATTAGGTTTGGATAATCTCCTAATTTGATTAGGAGAGTGCTCCATAAGGAGATAAAAGAAGAAGAGGGCGAACTAGACTAGAACACCACTTTCTCTTGTTCTCTCTTCTCTTTTGTCTTCCAAGGGTATGTCACCTAAGACCCCTGAGGAGATTGAGGACATGAGAGAGGTTCCCTATGCCTCTGCCGTAGGGAGCATCATGTATGCCATGTTATGCACTCGGCCAAACATTGCTCAAGCTGTGAGTATGGTAAGTAGATACCAATCAAACCCAGGACAAGAGCACTGGACCACTGTGAAAAACATACTCAAATACCTTCGAAGGACTAAAGAATATTGTCTTGTCTTCGATAGTAGTCACTACAGATGGTCGGGTATACTGATACCGGCTTCCAATCAAACCCAGATGATAGAAAGTTTACATCTGGTCACATCTTCACGATGGGGTCCTATGCAATTAGTTGGAAAAGCAACAAACAAGGGTCCACAGCAGATTCCACGATTGAGGCCGAGTACATTGCCACAAGTGAAGCTGCCAAGGAAGCAGTTTGGATGAAGTTCATCCACGAATTAGGAGTTGTTCCATCCAACACATCGCCCATTCCACTGTTGTGCGACAACACTAGAGTCATTGCACAGGATAAGGAGCCAAGAGCCCACTCGAAGTCTAAGCACATCGAGAGGAAATATCACATACTACGGGAGATTGTTAGTAGAGGGGACATCCATATTCAGAAGGCAGCATCAACGGAGAATGTGGCAGACCCATTGACTAAGCCACTAACACAAAAAGTGTTTGAGAAACACGTGGACAGTATGGGATTGAGGCTTGTACCAGATTGGACCTAAGTGCAAGTGGGAGCTATTAGACAGTGTATGCCCTTAGCTCCAATCAGATTGATGTACAGATACATTTATTGTAAATGAATAAAAGTACATAATTGTTTCATGTTATCATTGGTGTGTTTCTGTGTAATTACCCCTTAAACTGGACACTTATGAGACTCATGTTAGTTTAGAATGTTCTTAGCCGTTGGATAGACTTGGGGAGTTTATCCTACCAAGGCTAACACTGATGTACTGCAAAAGAAGTTGGGGTAGCTTGTATCAGCTGCTAGGATTAGACCCGAAGCACATGCAGTGTGTTTGGTGGAAGCACTAAACCCGAACCATTTTCTAGTTATGCCCTGGACCTTGGAGACTTATGGGCAAAACTGAAAAGTTACACATAACCCTAGACTTGATTATAGTATTGCACTAAGTGTCAGATCGGGTTGTCTTTGATATGCCAATCAGTGAGATCCTTTGTGGGTCAAAACCTGGGTATGTTGGGACAGTCTGAGAATTCACTTTAGTGGGTGATCATAGTGATAGGAACAGCCCCTTTGTCGGACAAAGTGAATGATTGGAGATTTGTTTTGCAAAATATATTTATATGATATATATATCATGTTTCAAGAAAAGTGTTTGCAAAAAGGTTTTAATTCCCGAGACCCATCCGAGTAGAGAGTGCAACACTGCACCTTGCAGTCAGGGGAGAGGTCCTTCCCTATTGGTCAATGTTTGATCATTGTGGGCTGAGAAATTGAGTGTAAGAGGCCATTAAGGGTTGTTTACCTGATGGGCTATATCTTACTTAAGTCGATTATCCTTGGGCCTTCATAGGATGGCTAGACTCATGGATCATTTAATTGTAAATGTTGGGCCCAATTTGAGCCCATAGTGATGGACTCAGGGGTTCACTGCATTTGGCAGTGAATTCGGCTTGGCCTTTTCACAGAGGCTGGGCCGAACCCATGTAGGCTTATGTGAGGTCATTGTTGGAGTCCCACGCCATACAAATTGAACCTAAATGGGCCAACAACTCTCTTGGGACGTGAGCCACTTAATTAATGGGCCTAAAGCCCATGATTAATAAGATTAATCAAGATGTCACATGACAGCTTAATCAATCATGTGACATGGGCGAATATGGGTCTAGATCTGGGTCTAGAGCACCCATTCTCATAAGAGGATAAGACCTATCTTAAAGATAAGAGTCTAGATCCAAATAAAGATTTGGATAAACCTCCTAATTCGATTAGGAGAGGCGTTCCTTAAGGATTAAGAGAACAGGAGATCGAACTGCTCTAGATAACTCTGCTTTCAATTCACTCTCTCTTTGCTCTTGCCACCCAGAAACCCTAGTTCCATCTCTGAATTTTGCAAGAAAATTGCAGAGAAAAACCGTGCTCACCTCCCTTGTTCGATCCATACAGTTGGATTGCAGTTTTGCTGAAAACTGTGTTGCTGAACCGGCTTCATTCCAAGTTGCGCCATCTTCAACGGAAGCTGATTTTGGGATTCAATTTGGGTGTGAACTACCACTTTGGGAGCTACATCTGTGGAATCCGTATCAGGTATACATCTCCCTACTTTTGGTTTCAAATCTGATCCGATTTCGGTGCAAGAACGATCCTAGAAAAATGCAGTTTTCTGAAACTAGGAAATGAGATTCCCAAAAGGCTGAAAGAAATTTTTGAAGTTTCACCCAACCATCTAGCATGGTTCGGCCAGCCATTTGATGGATTTCACCTTCCTTCATATACCACCAGTTGAGAGTACTCTTCAATAACCAACCTTCCCAAATTTAACTCTTTTGCTATTTGGGCCCACAAAGTACGGCAAGGTATTCAGCTCTAATGGAATCTCCTAGGCCAATAGAACCCAAGAAAATGTCTAATATAATCCCATCTTTATCCCTAAAAGCCACCTTACCACCCCAATGAAGATGGGCCTGCCTTACATATCTATCTTACACTGCACATCCGGAATACATGTACATTTCATCTTGTTGAAATGAGATTGATCCAGATGCATGGTGTACAATGCATTTGTAAGGCATAGACGAAAACAAATTTGTATACTTTGAAATGCTCTTCTTAACATAGAATTAACCCGTTGAATAAACAAAACACATGGAGCCAATCATATTACTTCAATGGATTTACTCTCCCCACCACTGTTTTTTTTTTTTTTTTGATAAATTACTCTCCCCACCACTGTTATGGAGCCAATGACATGCAGGGAAAATTTTGTTTTCAAATACTTTCAAATTAAGGTTTAAACATTCTGTGAGAGGACTGGCCAGTTGATACTTACTAGATAATTCAAATTAAAAAATTCACAAAGATAATTATACACAAAAAAAGAACCAGTTGAGCAATTTGATAAGCCCATAACCAGGCAAGCCTAGATGAAGAGGACCAACCTTAACAAAGTCTCCGGCTTGTATCATAAAATCCTTGATCACCCTGTGAAATTGGCATCCCTTGTATCCTACTGGAATTCCTGCTTTTCTGCCCATTCCATCCAATAAATGAAAAAAAACAGAACTATGAACATAACAAAATTTTTCTTCAAAGGAAAATATATAGACTTAAGTATATTCAGGCTTCATGACATGGGCACATCCATTTATTTCTAGTTAAACAATTCAATGATAATTTGGACCAAATAAGCAAAAGAAAGGAAGGAAAAGAAAACTAGCTACTACATTACAAAACTTATTCAAGACAGCTCTAAATTTATAATTGTCAACTATCTAGATTTACATCCCATAAACATTTACAATCCAATAATAAAGGTGGTCAGACAGGTCTTAGTTCATTCATCACAGATAGACATCTAGTAGAGAAAAATGCACAGAAGCCAAGGCTGGACATTGAGTTGGAAACAGAAACTCAGAGTGGATTTGGAGTCAGCCAGAGACCTAGATGACTTGAATCAGCTACAATGAGCAAGAAAAAGACTAGTTCATTGAGAGAATAGAGTAGCTAAAAACAAGGCTACAAACTAAGGCAAGCTGTATTAAATTATTGCACACTGAAATCCAACAGTACAAACCAAATAGCAAACCATTAACTGGTCCTATTTCAAATCTACTTTTCATCCTCATCCTGGGAAACCCAAACTTAACTAAATGTCAATAGGGGATGGATTGGTTGCATGGGCTTTTCCAAACGAACAACTTAGTGTTGAAGACATGCTGGATTCCCAAGTCCTAAAACTATACAGATTCTGGTGTGATACTTGTAATAAGCAATGCAACTTTTCCATGCCACTAGGAGGTGTGAACCTCAAAAGCATATCAAATGACTTTACAAAAAGAGATGAAAGTTTCAAGAATATGTAGAAATAAGTTTTCAAGTCCGAATAGGATATTCATTTGTTTCTATTAATGAGGAAAAAGTACAAGACCAGGGCTAAAGCTGCCACTATTTGGTGGAACAAATTACAAATAATATTAGTTACTATTTTGTATACATTCATCTCCTAGCAGTGACCTGTGTAATGCATGGACTTGTGCTATCCTTTTTGTCTATCGCATTATTTTTTGTATATGTGAATACCTGCTGCCTATCAATGGTTTTGAATTTAATGGTGAAAGTGGTTGAATTGTTGATACTCTTGCTATTACCTATAGATATCACCATCTAGAATAGAATTTTTTTCCTCCATGGAAATTCTTGAATTGTTCTTAACGACGTCGTCTGCACTAGACCCACATCCCTCATCAAATAACCTTAACTAACACTTGGACATTTCAAGATATCTTCTCTTATAGTGTATGTAGCCAAGCTTTTAGAAGGGGAAGTAATTGCACTCGTGCTCACATGCGGGCTCTAGAAAAAAGTGAGAACTCCAGTACTACTGTAACTGCATGGACATGTAGTGAAACCCTAACTCGCCCATGCACCTCAAATCCAACAAACTCATAACAACTTTCGTACTTTGAGAAAGTTTCCCTCCTTTCCCAAGGAGATTCCAATAAATAAGGGATCTCCAAAGATCCCCCCATGCATTCTTGCCTAAACCTTACGTAACCTCTACTAGACTTAAACCCTAGCTTCCCTTCTTGCTCTTAGCCTCCTAGAAATCTCCCTTCACCGCCATCTACCTTCTTTCAAGTAGACCATCTTAGTGCCTCCCACCCTAGACCTACACCTTCAAAACAAAGTGAACATATAACATGCATTATGAGTTTGTTGTATTTTTATTCACTCTTTTTTTCGGTTTTTTTTGGGGGGTCAGGGCAAACCAATGCACAAGGCTCACACCAATGCAGAGTCTGGGGAGGGACAAATGTACACAGCCTTGCCCCTGCAGATTGTTTCCAAAGTGAACATATAACAGAGAGGTTGTTTCCAAAAAAGAAAAAACAAATTACAAAGCTGAGAGAATAGCATTGCTATCCCTCCCCAAATAAAATTACAACAGTTGATTTCTGGCTCAATCTAAGGGCATAAAATGCCATTCCAACCTAGTCTAAATGCTAGGTAAAGTTGAGCCATGCCCAAGTTGGATTTGCACTCATACTGTGAAGGATAAACAAGGATTAAACCCTCTATGACCCATTTTGATATCCAAAATAAGAAAAACTGCAATCATTTTAATAAATCCATCAGTCAAATCCCATGTAACAAGGCATTCATTCCATTTTTATCTGGACATGTCAGATATTGTCTTTTTTCTGAAAAAAGCTAAAAAACTCTAGTAGTTCCATTCACACAAAACATAGTTCACCATCTCTTAACACATGCTGGACCGAATGATTTGTCTTTATCTTTTAGTGAACAAGACATAAGTTATTAAGGAAGTTGTGAGCTCCTTAAAGATTGAATCTGATTGGATTGATTACAATACCTTTGAATATTTTATTACTTAATTATTGTATAGACTAAGACAAAAAAAGCCATTCAGTTCGGCCACTTCATCCATTGTCAAACAGTCCCTTACCTTACAAACTTGAATGAAATTTCAGCAGAAACATATCTAGCATGGATGAATGAAGTCATACAGATACCAAAACTTCTAAGCCCAGTAGGCTTATCCCAGAGTGGAATACTATATATACTCTTTAGACCTAAAAATATGGGCCTACATGTCAGGCCCAATGTGCATTCTGGGCCCAGGCTTACATAGATACCCATGATCACCTTTACCACTGACCACCAATTTGGCAAATTCATGAAGCACTGGYATGAATCATTGTTTTTTTTTTTTTATTAGTACTGACATGAATCAGTGTTCAATTTAATGATAGAAATAAAATGAAAAGGACTGCAACACAAATTGGCTAAACAAAAAACTGCAAGACAGCAAATATTTTGGGGAAAACTCGAAAGTTTTTTTCTTGGGAGAATTTTACCACCTTGATGTAATACCTTCGTTTTGAAGTCAATAAAATTTATCCTTATTGATCAAAAAAATAAAATGAAAAGGAAATTGTATCCCCTTGCCAAATTTCTGAAGCTCTCCTACCTAGGGTTTAACCAATCTCACCAGGCTGAGATCTCAGTTAAAACACAGAAATTTAGAGCTGAAATTGTTAGTTCTAGGAAAAATATATTGCCAAATGCAACTATTACTTATGTTAACACATATACTCAACTGCCAGGTTACCTTCAATAATACTTGAAGAGTGCTTACAAACATTAAATGAATAACCCAGTTCCAAAATGTCATCACCTTTTCAGTTCATTGAAATGAGAGAATCCACCTACCTATATTCACCAGTGCAGAACTGCCTGCCAAATCAAAGAAAGAAAATTAATCCTAAGAAATGGAGTAAAAAGAAAATTCAGTACTATAAAAAATCTTCAAATAAGGATATGAGTCCATGAGGTGATGTAGGACAAGCTCAATTCCAGTCCTTAGAGAATGTTCAATGGTCTTCTTAGATCAGAAATTTATGGCTTTGATGGCTGTAATGGCTTCTTTTCTTTTCTTTTTTTTTTTTTTTTTGAAGAATAAAGAGTAAAATTTTCATTAAAAATAAAAGAGAAAGCATTACAATCTAAACGGGTGTCAAGATGACACACCAATATAACTAGTCAAAATGAAAAGATCTACATTACATGCTTGCAGTTCAAGGACATCCCAAAAACTTTCTGTCAGATCAGACCTGTTAACTTTCTCAAATTCTGGAAGAACAAAAGCCTAATCTATTACAAGCTTTCCACTGAAGCTAATATACTGTTTTCAAACAGCCTTCTATTCCTTTTGTTCCATATTGTCCAACATACTGCAAAGGAGATACAGTTCCTTACATTCCAGCTTAACAACTTCATACTACCTCCTCCCCCCCCCCCCTACTCCTATTTAGTCTCACAACTTCAACCCCTCAATCCTCCTCTTCTAAACACTCATTTTCTCCCCCTTCTTCATCCCAACCTTTGTCCTCCTCTGGTCTTTCTTTTTTTTATTTTTTTCTCTTCTCTTTTTTTTTCAAATTGTTCGAAAGCAATCCTCACAAAGCCACCCAGAAGAAAATTTGAGGGATTTTCCTATTATTACCTCCTTTTCCACCAACTTAGCACTCTCCACTTCCCCATTCTGAATTGCTTTTATACTATCTTGAACACTCTCCCCCCTTCCTCCTACCTATTTCCCATGCTCATTTTCCCCTTCCTCTATCTCTTTGCCTTCTCCCAACCCTCCCCCTTCACCCCAGTGTTCCCACAAAAGACCCCAACAGCCTCCTCCTATAATACTTTGTGAGCCACCCCCTTCCATCCCAGACTACCACTTTCTCTTACCCCCGCCTCTCCTCTCCTCTTCTACCCCTATTCCCTTCCTTCTCTCCTCTACTTCTTTTCTCGACTCAGAATGTGTCAGAGGTGAGTGGAATGATTGTATTTACCTCATAATTGTGGAAGTCACCATTGATCTCCTTTTCATGTAAAGTCTCTTCTCCCGCTTTCTCTACTGTTCCCATCTCCTCCACCATTCCAGTCTCTAAAAGACTAGGAGACACCCTGCTTGTTGGGTTTGGTCTACCTATATCATCACTGGACACACTCCCACCTTCTTCAAGTCTTCCTGCTCTCTTCCTTGTTGATCCTTGATTTGCCACTCTCGCCTCTCTAAGCTTTCTTGGTTTGAACTGCTATCCCATACAACCTTCTTGGCTCCTCTCCCTGTTCTCAGCACCATCGACACCTTTCCCCTCAAACCTTGTTACCACCCAAACCCAGTCTTCCTTTGATTTCTTCAATCTCCTCAGCTTTCCCATTTTTGTTTTTCTTTTTCCAACTATACCCCTTCTTTTTGCAACCCCTAACCAGAAAACACCTGTAGGTCTTCCCTTCTTATTGTGGACTCCACTTCACTTATCTGTCAATCCACCACCTTCTACATCCCAACCATTTTTGCCTCCCTCCCCTTTTTTACTCGCCTCTTTACCTACCCTTCCTCACACTACACGTGTCCCTCCATCCTTCACCCTTCAAATTCTAAGCTGAAAGTTTAAAGCAGGAAGCAAATAGTTGGTAATAAAAAGARGAAGAAGAAGGTGAATGGGGAGAAATTAGTATGTGGAGTATCATTATGATAAGGTTGGAAATTGCAAGAGGGAGAAAAAAGAGGGGATTTTTAGGGGTGGTATAAAATTGGTTGAACTGAAAGCTGAAATGAAGATCCTTTGCTGGAATATAAGGGGTTTAGGAATTTCAAAAAAACAGAGGATTATTAGAAATGTTTTAACGAAAGAGCGACCGAACATTCTAATGTTACAAGAAACAAAGCCCTCTGAAGCAGATAGAAGGTGGATAAGAAGTATTAAGGCATTGGAAGTTTGAGCTGATTCTACGCCCCATCTTGGGGTGCATCAAGGGGAAGCCTGACAATTTGGAGAAACGAGGAAGTGGAGAGTATGGAGAAGCTGATTCGACAATACTCAGTCTCAAAAAAAAAGTTAAAAAAAGTGGGAGATGGAAGGGGATGAATTTTAACAAATGTGTATGGACCTACTCATATAGAGATAGGGGATTGTTTTAGGAAGAATTAGCATCAATCAAGGGCTTATGGGAGGGACCTTGATGTTTGGGTGGTGATTTCAATGTAATAAGATACAAAAATGAGACAAATAACCCAAATCAAACCATAACTACTGGTATAAGGAAGTTCAATGAGTTGATTGATTCCTTAGAGCTTAAGGAACCCACCTATTGCAAGCTCCTGACCATTTTTTTAGGAAATAACAATCTGTTCCAAACCGGATAGATTTTTTAACTCAGTTGACTAGGAATATTTGTGGGGAAATTTGGTCCTAAAAGCTCTCCCTTGAGTAACCTTTGATCATTACCCTTTGACCTTAAGTCCAGAAACCTTTCTTGGGGGCCCTATACCTTTTCAGTTTGAAAATATGTGGCTGGAAGATCAAGCTTTCAAGGAAAAAATAAAAATTTGGTGGGCGGAAAGTGGCTCCCTAGGAAGAAGGGGGTGAGATTTATAAACAAGCTTAAGAGACTGAAAGAAAGGATCAAAGAATGGAATAAGGAGGAATTTGGGAGACTGAAAAAACAAAGGATAGAATTGCAGAGAGAATAGAGGAACTAGATGAAAAGGAAGCCAGAAGAGAGTGTAACTTGGAGGAAAGAACAGGAAGGTGGAATTTGAAGGTGGAATTGGAGGAGAGAAAATAAGAGATTTCTTGGAGATAGAAATCAAGGTGTAAGTGGTTGATGGATGGAGATTGAAATACTAAGTTCTTTCACTCTCTAGCTCATGGTAGAAGGGAAAACTTGATTTCTATCATTGAGATTGGGGACCGGGTAATAAATAAGGAGGAAATTGTTAAGGCCTTTGTAGAACATTTTAAATCAATCTTTGCTACTATAGGAGAGAGGAACTTGGATTTGGAGAATCTGGAGATGTTGGAGTGGAACACAATTCCTATGGCCTAAACAACCTCCTTAGAGAGAAATTTTAATGAGGAAGAGGTTCATAATGCTGTCTTCCCAATTGATAAAGCTAAAGCTTCGTTCCTCAATAGCTTCTTTGCGGCTTTCTACCAGCATTGTTGGGACTTCGGCAAGATCAACTAGTGTCTCTCCTTGGAAATCCATACATGCAGTTCTACCCTCTTTTCTGCAACATATCAGGTATGACCTTTGTTCTGGGAATCAAGTCAAATTTTAGGAACACATTTTGGTGGGTAATTTACCTTTGAAAGAACAATTTCCATTCCAGCTTTCACTTTCCCAATATAAAGGCAAGGTTGCTTCTCAGTCCAAATTTGTGTTTGATTGGGATCTGGGGCTAAGGAGAGGCCTAAAGGATTCAGAAGCTGAAAGTGTAATGAATCTGATTCAAATCTTAAATGAGGTGGTATTGGATCCCTCTGAAAGGGATAAGAGACTATGGACTCTAACTCCTTCCAGGTCTTTCTCTTGTGCTTCCTTTTTCAAGTCCCTCTTGCCTTCTAACAATAACCCTACACAAAGTTTCCCAATTAAGGAAGTTTGGGGTGAGCCGATTCCTCCAAGGATTGGAATTTTTCTGTTGGGAAGATGTAACACCTGTGACTTACTCCAAAGGAAAAGGCCTTATTGGTGCTTGTCTCTGAGTTGGTGCATTCTCTGTAAGGCTAATGGTGAAAGCTCCTACCACTTATTAATTTCTTGCTCTTTTGCTTCTGTTATTTGGGAATGGTTTTTTCCCTTTTTGGTTGTAGGTGGACTCCCCCCCCCCCCCCGGTCAAACATCCAAAGTGTTTTTAGCTCCTTGTTCTTTAGACGGCCTAAAAGAAGGGGAAGGATTATGTGGAGAACCAGGAGACAGGAGCCCAAGGGGGTAAGGAACTAATCCCAGATGAGAGACATGAGCATGGTGATAAATTGGTGTTTCGGTAGGAGAACCAGGAGATTACAGAAGATACTCTGGAGGGGGTACAAGTTCTGGTTTGGCCAAGTCAAATAATCTTTCGAGGCCTTCCCAACTAGTTAGAACTAAAGTCGGGGGTTTGGAGAGGTTCCAGAAGGAAAAGGGCACCAAAACTCCTGTGTCTAAGACGCTTGTCCTTTCTTCTCAGCATTCTGGTAACTTCAATAACACTGTTGGTTTAATTTTTTATGATAACTTGTGTCGTGTTGATCCTATAGTATATCCAGATCCCATCCAAGGCTGTGATTTGCCCATGAATCTACCAGAAGAAGAAGAGAATGCGAGAGAGATAATAGGAGAGGAAGGAGGGGAGGGTGTGTTTGAGGCTTGGGGTGAAAGGAGGCAGAAGGACAAGGAAGGAGCAGGGACTAATAAGGGAATGGGTATAGAGGGGGACAAAGAAATCCCAAACTGATTCATTCACAAGAAGATGAGAATGATGGGGGGGTTGGAAGGGTCTTAACTAAAGAGAAGAAAGAAAAGGAGGTGGGAGAAAGTAAAAGTAGTCAAGAAGATCATAGTGTTATGGATCCTGTGGTGGTTATGGCTGAAAAAAATCATGGTTTCAAATGTCGCGAAATGTCGCCCTACATATGTCGATGTCGAGGCTCACCGACATGAAAATGGATGGTAATATAAAAATTACATTATTTTGGTTGACAATTCCTATATTTCTGAAATGTCAACCAAATCGATCCAAATAACCAAAAAAAAGACAGTTTTTCCTATTATGTCGACAGGATGTCGACTAATGTACATTAATAATATAATATATTATTATATTATATTATATTATAATACAGTTTATTAATATAAATTATTCCATTAATAATTTCTATTTAATATTTCAAATAAA